ATCAGACACTCCTCTGACCTATGCAGGCCCTAGGCCCTCAAGGACCTTCCTTTTAGTAGTCATCCAACCCAGGCTTTCCCAAGTCCGGGGGGTGAGGGTGGGGAAACTGGAGATCCCAGAGCACCAGATACCTGTAAGTCAGGGCCTGGCAGGCCTAGGAATTTTGGAGTTGCTGTGTCTCCAGGAAGGCAGCATCCTCTTCCTATCACTCAAGCCAGGAGACTTGGTGGTGGATCACACCACAAGCTCCATGCCCTCAGCACAGCCAGCAGAGAGAAGGGCATAAGGAAGCCTCTTCACTCCTTCCCCCTCTCCTGCTGAAGCTTAGGGGTGAATCTGGGAGCTCGGCTGCCTAAGACCCTGCCCGCTCCAGCCTGTAGATCCTGACTCAGTTCCTGTCTCAGACACCTCCCTTTGCCTCCAGGGCCTCTGTTTCCCAAGTCCAGGAGCCCAGGCAGGCAGGAAGCAGCAGGCCCTGGCAGGGCACGGAGTCAGCCGTCTGAGTCAGCAGGACAGGAGCTGGGGCTGTGGCCCAAGGGGGCTTTCCTCATCCTGCCTGCTACCTTCCCATCCTTCCATATAGCATCCATCCTGCCAGCAGGTCCAAGGCCTCTGGTCCAAGAGGCAACAGATCCTTAGCTGGTAATCACAGGCTTGTGGCCCAGAGAAGGCAGCAACCAGTTGCTATCTATCTCCACTGAGAACAGAGGACAGGACTCTGAATACAGCAGGAGGGACTCTAATTAGAATACAGAAAGAACTTCCTATGAAATTTTGTAGTCTTGGAATGATCAAATTAAACAGGTGACCGGAGGCAGGTATGGCACCTCTCCCCTTGCTTAGTTGTAAACAAGACTTCAGTTATCCAGCCAAGGGCTCACTCTACTAGCCGCCTTTAGGAGGGAATATTAGATTACTCTTAAGTGACTCAGCTATCCTGAGTCTTTTTCTCCTTAAGGCGCTGTTGTTTAGTCTCCTACATCTCTCAGACCAGTCCGGTCTAGGACATGGTATGGAGTTTGTGGAAAGAGATGGAATGTCAGGCTACGGGACTGCATCCCAACTCAATTTTAAGGCATTTTAAGGCCTTGTGGGGAAAGAAGCCTGTTCCCCATCAGTACAAGGAGGCCAGCACAGATCCCCTCTAAGCCCTCTGATGGCTATGAATGACAGCCTCCAACTGGGTTTCTCCCTCTGAGATCCCCTCCTCCTGAGGCAGCCCTATTTGTTCCTTGGGTAGTGCAGAAGGGCCGGAGGTTGGGGCAGAGACTTGAGTTCATATCCTCAACTTGCTGCCTTATCAGCGGGGAGACCCTGGGCAGCTGCTGTGCCTTCCTTGCACCTTGGGTCCCTCATCTGTAAAAAGGCGGACATCACAGGTTCAGGTGAGAAAACGGGCCTGGCACTTGGCTGCTCCTTGCTAAATGGCTGCCATAATGATTTTTTAGCTCTTACATACTGTGTATCTCAATGTGGGGCAGCAGCTGGGGAGAAGGAAAGTTCCATGAGACTGTTAATCTGGACTGGGTTCAGTTCAAGGGGTGACAGTCCCAGCTTGGGTTGGGACTTTTCAGAGATGAAGTCAACTAAGGCTTGAAGGTCTCTGGCACTGAGACCAGTTCTAGAGGGACAGAGTGAAGAGCACACTGGCTACTCTTTCTGTGTCACTTCTGCCTTCACGGTGCCCCTTCTTTTAAATCTCTGGAACTGGGCAGCCCTGGTTGCTCAGCAGTTTAGCGCCGCCTTCAGCCCAGGGTGTGATCCTGGAGACCCTGGATCGAGTCCCAAGTCGGGCTCCCTGCATGGAGCCTGCTTCTCCCTCTGCCTCTCTCTGTCTCTCTCTCTCTCTGTGGTGTGTGTGTGTGTCTCTAATAAATAAATAAAATCTTTTAAAAAAATAAAATAATAAAATAAATCTCCCGGAACCAGTGGGGGTGGTGGCCCCTGGGTGGCTCAGTTGGTTAAGTGACTGACTCTTGGTTTTGTTTTGTTTTGACTTTTTTTTTTTTACTTTTTTTTTTTTTTGACTCTTGGTTTTGATCAGATCTCATGGATCCTAGCCCAAGCCCCGTGTAGCGTAGCATCGGGCTCTGTACTCCATGGGGAGTCTGCTTGAAGATGCTCTCCCTCTGCCCTACCCCGCCCTTGCTCAATAAATCAATCTTTCAATCTCTGCAATGGCACCATCTAGATAGAACAAGGCTGGCAGGGAGGGTAAGCCAGATGGTCTGCACACTCATCCTGGGCCTCACCCCTGGACCCCAAGTAAAGGTGGCACTAGACAGCCAAGGATATGGCAAGAAGAGGGAAATCTTTATTTTGGTTAAAAAAGGTACAGGACAGCAGACAAGCAGCCCCCAGCCATGGACTCAGCAGATTTCCTAGGCCCAGCCCAGTTTCCTTTAGTTCCTCTGAAGAACGCAGGGCTGTCAGAGCTCACTCAGTCCCTCAGTGCCTGGGGCAAAGGGTACAAGCATCCTCCTTGCATCTTACCTACTTGGGGTAGTGGGGATGGAGGGGGCCGTGGAAGGCCGTGGGAACAATGTCAAACCGGTTGTGCTTAGAACAGTTACCGAACTTGTTCAGCAGCGTCATCAACCACCAACAGCCCAGAGGCTCCTGAAGAAACCTGCTCAGCTCCACTATAGCTATGCCTGATTCTGGGAGGGGGCAGGCTGTAAGGCCAGATTCCTGAAGAGTCTTGACACCTTACAGATCTGGGGAAGGGGAAGGGAAGTGGAAAGGGGACCAAGTTTCAGCATGGTTATTATGTCATTGTGCTGACAGCTGCGTTATGGCTTTCTACACTCTGGCTGGCACGGATTGGGGGTGGGGGCAAAGAGGCCAGCCCCTGCCCCCTGTGGGGGGCTCTAGAGAGCACACGAGTGGGGCAGGCTTGGGGGCAGACCCTGTAGGCACAGACGGTGGCAGATGGGCCACAGGTTAGGCAGGTGGAGGTGCCGGGTGCCTGGCTCCCCTCAGGCCACTCCTGGAGAGGCAGAGAGCAGCGGTCCTCAGGAGGTCCTTAAGCCCCCGCACACACTGGAGATCCCAGCAGGACAGCAAAGAAGGAGAAGAGAGAGGGTTAGCGGGATTGGGAAGAGAGAGGAGGCCTGCAGGGGTGCTGGCGGGGGGACAAGCGCCACCCCAGCACCTGCCTCTTCCTCACAGAAGGGCTGAGGCTCGGGCAGCAGGCAACGAAGCAGGAGAGAAAACGGGCAGGCGAGAGCTCAGCAGAGACAGAAAAGCCAGGACACAAGTGTTAGTGACCGCAGGCTCCTGCACACCAGGACGCCACCAGGACGGGCCCAAGCACCCCAGAGCAGGTAGGTCACCCTCTCCCCGACCTCACCCTTCACCTCCTGCTCCAGTGGGAGAGCTGCTCTGTGTGAAGCTACTTCCTCAGTCCAGAGCAGGGCTGGGCTATTAGCCCTGCCCTCACGCCCCGATCCTTCTGTTTTGGGGGGAAGCCCTGGCGGCCCTACCACCGCCAGCACACACACCACACCACACACCAGACAGATGAATGGGCTCCATGGGGTTGGCAAGGCATGCGATGAGGATGAGATGGTGTGTGAGGGGGGCGGGCAGTGCTGGCTGACAGGGGAGATACGGTCTTACCAGCTAACCCTCTGCAAAGAGGCCTGTTAGCTCCCCTCAGGCTGTGCAGGAGATGGCAAAATCCTGACAGGTGTCCTCCTGGGGGAGATACCAGAGAGGCGGGCCAGTGTTATGAGTTGTCTGGCTGTGCCCTGCTGCCCAGGTGGGGCTGGGGCCAGGGAGGCTCTGGCTCACAAACTGGAATCTATTGTCTCAGAAACATTTTCTTAGCGGGGCAGTCACGGTAGGGGGGTGGGGTATCAGGGTGAAAAGACAGCAAGGAAAAAGACCTCGGGGGTCTCCAAGTCCCAGAGGCAGGGGAGAGTAGGGGGGGGACCAAGAGGGGACAGGCTGGCCTCTTCTTACATGCCTGGGGGGCCTCGCCCCCTGGCTCGGCCTCAGAGAACTTTAGCCACACCACTGGCCTTCCTGCCTTCTGCCTCCTCAGGAAAGACCAAATTTGGCTGAAAGAATAGAGGGCTGCCGGTTGGAGCCTCAGCAAAGAAAGAGCAAACAAAAACCAAACCAAAGCAAATCAACTCTTAAAAACAAAAATTTTATTACAAGCAGGAACAAAGAATACTGGCTTAAATAAAAGGCAGGTGGGAGTCCCCTCCTCTAGGCAGCTCCCTCCTGACTTCCCAGTACCACTGCAGCATGGCCCAGGGGCCTGCCACTAGGGCAGAGCTGCTTATCCCAGAGGGGACCTTCCGTGGCTGCCATTTCTCAGCTGCCTGTGACCCACTACCCTCTGCAGCAAGGAAAGGCAAGTCGCGAGGACTTCCTAGTCACTTGCCAAGGGCTTCAGCCCACTTCAAGGGCCAAGGACAATTTCCTATCTATTTTGACAAGAAGCTAGAGTTTCCAGCAGAAAAGGGACATCCTTTGAGTTTGGGCCCAGACGTAGGCCAACAACCTTCATTTGCCTCTTGGCCCACCCTGCACCTTCCTCTCTTTTCTCTGGATGGAGTCCTCGGTTGGCAGAGACTCCCTGTCCTCTAGCCACTGGCATTAGGTCCCATACTCAGAGCCCAGAGGAGGGAGCACGGCTTGCAGAATGGCAGCCGCTCCCACAGCCATTACCCCATCCACCACGCCCAGCCTCAGCCTGTCTGGGCAGGTCCTGGGCTTCCTGATGTCCAAGGAGGAAGGAAAGATAGGAGGACGGGGGGTGGGCGCTGAGCTGCAGCAGAAACCCAGGGGTCTCTCGTGATCAAGGCATGGGCTCCTGTGGCCCTGGCTCAGGCTGCTCCTGCTGCTGCCCGCGGCCGCCCGAGGGGGATGGCGGGGAAAGGGGCAGCCCAGGGGATGTCGGGAAGTGGGAGCCAGCCACATTCGTACAAGGGCATATGCGAACACACGCATGCACATACACACACTCACTCACTCACTCACAGCCATTAATTCTCTTATAAATTTATTAAAACCAACTTGCCTTCTGATAATCCTTAACCTGGCACTACACAGAGAGCAATGTGGCTGACTTATTTTCTTCTTCCATTAAAAAAAATGCTATGTAGAAAAGAGGTCTATAAAATTGTGCAAAATACCCAGCATTAATAAACCCGTTTCAAGTATTGCCAGCATGAGTCTAGCCCACCCAGCCCAAGCACCGACTTGGGAGAGAGGTGGGGGGCCAGACTGGGATCCCTTAGAGAGCCCTCCATGGGTAGCGAGAGGGCAAGGCCCCCACTTCCTAGTGTGCTGTCCAGGAATCATGCAGGAGCTGAGGTCTTGGGTGCCTGGCTGGCTGGTTTAGCTTCCTCTGACACAGGCTGTCCCCCAACCACCCCCACCTCTGACCTTTCTATCTGGAACCCCAGCTCTATCCTATTGGCCAACCCCATACAAAAAAAAAAAAAAAAAAAAAGAACAAAAATGGAATAAAGAACAATGATCATCATGAAAAGAAGGAAGGAGCCTACAAACCAAAGCAGCCCACGGAGGAGGCATCCTCTCCTATAACCTGCTGTCCAGAGCCAAACACTCTTAGGCTCTGCTTCACCCCCAGGATCCTGGCTGAGCAGAGCCCAGCAGCTCCCCCACCTGGGAGGTATCACACTCAGCCGGCACCCTCACTCACACAGGGCTTGCCTTGGCACAGGTAGAGACTTGGCATTGTCCCCTCATGGCCTCAGGGGCCCTGGCCTCTCTCTCTCCTGTCACTCCTGCCACTGATCAGCTGGGGGGTGGGGGTGGGGGACGTGCGGATTTAGGGCCCACGGCTGTGGGAACTTGGGTTTGGGGAACAGAGGATACAGCCATGGAAGCGTGGGGAAAGCCACGCAGGGTGGGAAATAAATACGAAAGAGTCTTTGGCGGCTCTGCTTCCCTTGGGTGGAATGGGGAGGGTCCTGGCAGGTGTGGAGGGCGGCAGGTGAGTACGGAGGGGTGGACAGGCCAGCAGGTGGCAAGTACTGAGCCCAGTTCAGGGGTGGCCTCCTACCATGCTGGCGTCGGGCTTGGCTCCACAGGCTGGCTCATCGCTTCTGATGGGTGAGGGCAATACGGTGTCGGCCTGCACAAATCCCCTTCGGTCAATCAGGCTTCCAAAACACAAGAGAGGTCACATGAGGGCCCTGCCCAACACCAGTGATCCAGGCCCGGGCTGAATGGCATAGTCCATTTCCCAGCCAAGGAAACACCCAGGCCTACAAAGCCTGAGAAAGGGGAGCTGATCTCCAGTTGGGGGGGCAAAAGCCTTCCCTTTCAGAAGGGCCCACTCTGCACTCTGGACACCTGGTTTTGGCCACCAGATTTATACACTGTTAATTCAAAGTGGCCCCATTTTGCTGCCTGGATGCCACAAAGCCAGCCTGAGGGTAAGGGAAAAGCAGGATGAAAGGGAATTTGGAAATAGTGTGATTCCCACTGTTACACCCACCCCCCACTGCAAGCATGAGAGGCATATGAGGCAGGAGAAGCTTGTGGGGAGGGTGTGGGGGTATGGACAGTGTGGGGAAGTCTTGCTTCCCCAGTGTCCACTGCAATTTAACTCCTGTTCTGGCACTCTGGCGCCCCCTGGTGTGAAGACAGGAGCACTTCCTCGCTGGTCTCAGCAACTAGGGAGGATGGAGCCCCACCCAGTCGGCTATCAGCACCAGAGGGGCAGCAGTGTGGCCAAGACATTATTCCTGGTGATCCCTGGCGAATAAGATTACACGTGATATCTAATACTCTTCTTTCTAATATTTTGCACTTAATTTTTTTCTACAATGAGCAATGTCATTAACAATTACATAGAATTCTTTTATGTTGGGATGCCTGAGTGGTTCAGTAGGTTAAGTATCTGCCTTCGGCTCAGGTCATGATCCCGGGGTCCTGCATCAGGCTCCTTGCTCAGCAGGGATTCTTCTCCCTGCCCCCTCCCTCCCACCCCACTTGTGTTCTCTGACTCTCTCTGTCGAATCAATCAATCCATCCTTATAAAAAAAAAGAATTTTTAAAAAAGATTTTATTTATTTATTCATGAGACACACAGAGAAGCAGAGACACAGGCAGAGGGAGAAGTAGGCTCCCTGCAGGGAGCCTGATATGGAACTCGATCCCAGAACCCCAGGATCACGCTCTGAGCCAAAGGCAGACACTCAACCACTGAGCCACCGAGGTGCCCCAAAAAAGAATTCTTTTATATGACAAATGCCTTGAGTGCACTCTGCAGGGGATGGTGGAAAGAGGGTTTCCGTGGTGTGGGCAGGTCTCCTGCTTCCAGAACCTCTTTGAGAGTTGTGGACTCACAGCGCTGTCCCCCACTGGTCAGGCCAGGCCCTGTGACCTCTCCTGTTCACCCCTGGCTTACCTGGGAGGTAGGGGGCCGCAGAGCACAGCACAGCAGTTGGTGATAACACTTTTATGGCTGTAGGGATTGACGGAGGCCTCACCGCCCCTCTTGCTGGACCACGAGCCTTTGATCTGCCAGCAGGAAGGAGGTGTAAGTCAGGTATCATTTTCTAGGAGGGAGGCCTGGAGGCTGGTGAATTCTGAACCCAATTCTGGACAGACTACCGGAGGGGATGTGTCTTTAGCCCAGGCTATTCAGTGAGTGTGGGGGACTGTTGGGCATGTGGGACACCTAGCAAAGAGGAAGTAGCCCTAATCAGGACAGAAACAGAGTGTAGCCAGAGAAGCCTCCCAAGGAAACTTTTTGGGGCCCCCTCTCTTCTCTGGCCAGCCACCTATGAGGGAAGGTAGTACAAGGGGCAGGGCTCAGGCTGACCTGGCTGTAAACCCTGGCCCTGCCACTGACACACTGCATGAGCCCGGATAGAACGCTTCTCTGAATCTCAGTCCTCGTTTGAAAAATAGGGAACTCTGATAGCATCGATGGGGCATTTGATGAAATCCTGCCCATCTCTACGTCTGTGAAGCCAGCTATCGAAGGCACCGAGGAGTTTACAAGGAAGTATACCTGTTTGACTTGAATCCAGAGTTTTCCAGACTTATTTGGCCATAATACGTCTTTTTGCTTAACCCCTAGTACGTCCTGAAAAACTAGCACCCAGGAAACCGCCTTGGGAGATGTGGGCTAATGTCATTTCTGCTTGTACCAATCATCCAGCACATGATACCCTATCATGAGTGCTAAGTTTTATTTCCCAGAATGAGAGGCTGAGGTGAAGAAATGTATTTTCTGTTGGTCATGGGCCTCTGAGCAGGATCTGATGGCGGCCCCGGCACAGATGCCATCATTTGCTTTTTATTGTTTGTGAGAACAGGAAGGAGAGGTCAGGTCTGGCCCAGGGCTGGGCATACAGTGGGTGCTCAAACAATGCATGCTGGTGGAGGTCTGCCAGAAAGCCTTAGGATCCTGTCCTCACTGTCCCCCTCAATAAGGGTGCCTTTGGGAGCCCCAAGGACACCCTGAGAATGGTCACATCTCTTCTGCCTACAAGTACAGTACAGTGGGGGCCCAGCAAACAGAGCCATAGCTTCCGTTACAACACCGGCTCCATCCCTTTCCAGCTGTGTGACCTCTGAGTGATGGCAAGTCACTCAGCCATCAATCGGGAGAAAAAGCATCCCTTTTCCTTCTGCCTCAGAGTTGGCAACAGACCTCCAAAGAACTCTGGAAACAGTAACATGCTGGCCAATGTCATGACTTCCAGTGGAGCACTGCCTCTGGGTTAGCGAGAAAGCCCACACCGAGGGGCCAAGGGGCTGAGGCATGTGGGGGCTCAGAAGCCTGCACTGGGTCTCCCATGGCCAGGCAATGTCTGGCTGCCTTCCATCTCCACCCGCGGTACCCCAGCAGCAGAGAGTCAGGCTGCATTGCGGCAACCCCAGGCTCCCTCAGCCCTGCTTCCTTCCCAGGACCCCTGCCCAGGGACAGGGGTGGCTCCAGCTTTACTCACATCTTCGTTAGTTGTCAGGTTGGAGGCAACGAGGTAAGTATGAAACCCTGAGAGGCCCAGGATGGACCAGATGGAGAAGAAGCAGATCACCAACTCCAGCACAGTGAGCAGGGTGGTCAAGGACACACACGGGGACAGGGCTGGGAGCTTCCCTTGGACCTGGGAGCTTGCCACGCTCAGCCTTTCTTACCTACCCTTCCACAAGCTATTCCTCAGAGAGGAAGTGAGTTCGTAACCCTCCTCAGGTCCACTCACCACTTCTCAGCAGGATCACCTCCAAGGACCTCAGGAAGGTTAGGGAGCCCCTTCAAGAGCAGCAAGGGTGATGGACAGTAGAGGGAAATGAGGATTCCAGGCACCAAGAACCCCACTTGGGACATGGTCCAAGGAGCTTGGTGTCTTTTTTTTTTTTTTTTTAATTTTTTTTTTTTTTTTTTTTTTTTATTTATGATAGGCACACAGTGAGAGAGAGAGAGGCAGAGACACAGGCAGAGGGAGAAGCAGGCTCCATGCACTGGGAGCCTGACGTGGGATTCGATCCCAGGTCTCCAGGATCGTGCCCTGGGCCAAAGGCAGGCGCTAAACCGCTGCGCCACCCAGGGATCCCAGGAGCTTGGTGTCTTAAGGGAAGACAGGGTTTGTGGCTCCTGAGAGTTCTTGGCCACCCCGGCTCCATGATCGGGCCATTTAGGATCAGCTCTAGCCTGGGTGGGAACAGAAGCAGCTGGTATATCGGATTATTCTTGAGGACAAACACTGGCTCTACACCCTTCCCTTCTGTTTACAGGATGAGGTGCAGGGACCCACCCCAGCGAGGGGGCCTGGTTCCCACGAGGGCATCCACCAGATGACAAAGGATATCTTGCTGGTGTCTCCTTCAGAGTGGAGAGGAAGTTGCTTCCCTGAGAGCCTGGGGAAGAAAAAAAACAGGACAGGGCACAGCTCAGAGGGATACTGACTGTGGCCCCTTGACTCAGCTGAACTCCTGGCCCACCCCTCCCGCTCACCCCTGCCCCCACCCCCAACTCACGCAGCGTCAGGTGGGTGACCACACATGCGAAGATGAAGGCCGTCAGGAACGAGAGGGAGAGAATAAACGCATAGAAGAAGCGGTAGTTCCGTCTCCCCACACAGTTGCCCACCCAGGGACAGTGATGATCAAATCGTTCTGGAAGAGGGCCAGGGGAGACAGATCAGTGTACCTGGCCTGCAACCAGCACAGGTGTTTAGAGGCCTCATGCCACAGCTGGGGCCTTGCTCCCCCCACACCTCTCTGCATTGGCCCACCCCCAGTTCCTCAGATGCTCCCTGCTTCTGGACCTTTGTGCACAGGTTCCTACTGCCTTACACATTCTACTCTGTGTCTTCACCTGGTTAAGGGTAATTCCCCCTTCGTGTCTCAGCTGCAAAGCCACTTCCTTAAGAAGCCTCCTCTGATCCCAGACAAGGTGAGGGCCCTCTGTTATCTACCCCATTACTTATCTTTGTATTTACATACTTATTTATAATTAGTGGACTGGTCTGCTCGATTGTAAACTCCATGAGGAGGCCTGTGTGGGCCTCACACTGAGCTAACCGACCAGCCAGCAGGGCCTGGTACAAAGATCTACACAAAAGTACTTGTTGCCTGGCCTATGACCCTGGCCACATGCCAACAACCAATGATCCCCATTTCTTGCTCTAGAAGTAGAGGCCCAGGGAGTGGCTGGGAGAGCTGGCATGAAAGACCCGGTCTGAGGCCTGAGTTCACACCAGCACTATGTCCCCAGGGGCGGCTCATACCCAGGCTGGTAGGAAAGTCCTCTGTGAGAATGTGGATCCCAAGCCCATTGCAGGCCTCACATCACAGCCAGCACCATTCGCAGAGGGTGGGTGGGGTAGATTCTCAGGAGTGAATAATGCTCACTGAGTCACCCACCTTGCTGCCTGCTGTCATGGGTGTTCCCTGCTGTTCTCTCACTCGGGGAGTGCTGAGCTGGTGTGATGAGCTCACTGCCTGGGGACCATGCACAGTCACCATGGCTCAGCTTGTCTGGGTCCTCTTGCATAGCAGTTCCCTTATGACACCCTCCCAGGGGCACACCCTCAGCCTGCATCAGGCTGCCTGGCCTCCGGAGGGCAAGAAGAGGAGACAAAACAGCCTTCAGTTCCCCAGAAACCACTGCAGTTGTGGTCAGGAGCTTAGCTTCCAATCCTGCTACATCCTCTCCACCTTATTGGCTTGAACTCCTCTGTTCCTAGCTTCTTATCCCCAAGCCCTGGGAATCAGATCAAAGTCATTCAGTATAGTTGGCCCTGGACCACTGGATGATAAATCATTCTCTTTCTGGCCCCAAAGTATCTAGAATGTTATGGGTCCAGTCTTTGGTTCCTGGAAACTTGGACCTACTGAGGACCCAGGGCTTCTCTGTATCTGCCCCATAGTGCAGAGCTGCGGGAAAGGAGTCTACCAATCCTGGGCTGAAGCCAAGACACCACTGGTCACACTCTGAGCCTCTCCTCACAGCCCCTCCTCAGTCAGAGCAAATTTGGGTGAAGCAGACCTCTTGCCCAGCTTTGGTTGATTCAGACACACCTCCATCCCCACAAGTGACTTCCCTGTCCCCAGGGCTCCCAGCATTGCTCCCTGCTGCCTCCCACTTACCCACACAATTGTCACAGACACTGCAGTGTGAGGTCCGGGGTGGTCGAAACATCTTGCAAGTGAAACAGTACTTCAACTTGACCATCTGCCCGTTGATCATCACCTCCCGGGTCCGAGGGGGTGGCCGGTATGTGGAACTGCCTGTGTTATCTGAGGGTGGGAGGAGAGAAAGATGGGGGATGTCCAAGCCCAGAGCCAGGAGCACCAGCTGAGGGGGAGCCACTGCTGCCTAGCAGGGACAAGAGAAGCCTTAGGAAAACCTCCTCCTGGCAACAAGACTTTGGAATAAAATGTGGCCCATGGTGGGGACAATTATTAAGAGCTGCTACCACCTACTGACACTTGCCTTATGCCAAGCCCTGCACTAAAGCTTTACATACCTGCTCCACACCACTGGCCTTACACAACTTAGAGAAGGAGGCCCTGGGAAGACTTGGGGAGGTTTATCTGAATGGAGTCAAGCCCAGCTCTAAGTCCCAGTTTCCAGGAGGCTCAGTATATGGAAGGACAAAGCAAACAACACTGAGAAAACAGTCAGATCCAGAATGCAGGACACCTACAAGACCACCAGTCTGATCTCTAACAAAGTCAATGTCACAACAAGAGAGGGAGATGCTTCTAAATTAAGAGACATGAACAAATACAATGCATGATCCTAGATTGGATCCTGTTTGGTTCTGGGGGGGTGGATCCCTTTTTAAAAAAATATTTTATTTATTTATCCATGAGAGACAGAGAGAGAGAGAGAGAGAGAGGCAGAGACACAGGCAGAGGGAGAAGCAGGCTCCATGCAGGAGGCCGATGTGGGACTCGATCCTGGGACTCCAGGATCACACCCTGGGCCGAAGGCAGGCGCTAAATAGCTGAGCCACCCAGGGATCCCACGGATCCTGTTTTGAAAAGCAAAACAACACAAGAAAGACATTTGGGGGGAAGCTGGGGAGAAAGGACTATAGATTAGAAATTTGGGGACTATTCATTTTCCTAGCAGTAACGGAATTGTGGTCATGTAGGAGGCTGTCTTCTTTAAAATCTTGAAAAAAAAAAAGGATATATGACACAAATAAAAGAAACTAATAACAACTACTAAATCTAGATGGTGAACATGCAGAAAGTCATTGTATTTACAGAAAAGTCACTTTTCTGTATGTTTGAAATTTTTCATAATAAAAAATTTTTTTAAAGATTTTATTTATTCATGAGAGACACACAGAGAGGCAGAGACACAGGCAGAGGGAGAAGCAGGTTCCCTGTAGGGGAACCTAATATGGGACTAAGTCCCAGGACCCCGGGATCATGACCTGAGCCAAAGGCAGATGCTCAACCACTGAGCCAACCAGGCATCCTGTAGCCAAGGATTCTTAAAGGACAAAGCTAATGGACTTAAGTGACTAATATCAAGACTAATGATAAAGCTCTAGTACTTAAGAAGGCCTGGTGGTCTGGGGCAAGGGTAGAAATGCTGATCAATGGAACAGAAAAGAGAATCCAGAAATAGACCCAATATGTAAATGATCAAGTGGTTATGACCAGGCAACATCACAGTGCCATGAAGGAAGATGGTCTTTTCCAATTAAACAGTGCTGAGTCCACTGGGTATACAGATGGGAGAAAAATGGATCCGTACACCCATCTCCCACCAAATGCAAATTCAATTTCAGATCGATTGTAGCTCTAAATGCAAAAGTTTGGGATTAAAAATAATAGGAAAACAACTTTATGACTCTGGAGTAGACACAGATTTCTTAAAACACAGAGGGACAAATCATGAAAGAGCAATTTGATATAACTGCATTATAACAAAATTAAGAATTTCTGTTCGGGGCACCTGGCTGGCTCAGTTGGTGGAGAGTGTGAGCATTCACAATGACCCCAAGCATTAATCTTGGACTCATAAGTTTAAGACCTGAGGTGGATGTAGCGATTACTTAAAAAAATAAAAAAAAAAAAGAGAACTTCTGTTCATCTAAAGATATAATTAAAAGAATGAAAAGGTGACTCTCAGAGGAGAAAATATTTACAATATGCTTATCTGACCATGGATAAAGGATCTGTAACCAGAATATATAAAGAATCCCTGGGGGATCCCTGGGTGGCTCAGCGGTTTAGGGCCTGCCTTTGGCCCAGGGCGCGATCTTGGAGTCCCGGGATCGAGTCCCACGTTGGGCTCCCGGCATGGAGCCTGCTTCTCCCTCTGCCTGTGTCTCTGCCTCTCTCTCTCTATGTCTATCATAAACAAACAAACAAACAAACAAACAAACAAATAAATAAATCTATCTATCTTAAAAAAAAAAAAGAATCCCTGTAAGTCGGTAAGAAAAAGCTCAGACAACTCAATTCAAATGTGGACAAAAGATTCAAACAGGTATTTCATAAAAGAAGCTATCTAATGGCTAATAAACACATGCAAAGGGGCTCACGCTCATTAGTCATCAGGGAAATGTAAATAAAAACCATGATGTATTTTTTGTATACATGTACCAGAATGGCTAAAATGAAAAAAAAAAAATTTAAAAATCACATGCTGGTAAAAATGTGAAGCAACTAGAAATCTCACATAACTACTTTGGAAACCTATTTGGCACTAACCACCGAAGTTCAACATAGGAACCCCCAATAAGCCCACAGCTAGGTATCTCCCCAATAAAAATGTGTAAGATCTTTTTAAAAAGAAGGAATTTATAAGTAAACTCTATGCCCAATGTGTGGCTTGAACTCACAACCTCAAAGTCATTCAGTATAGTTGATCAAGAATATAGACAGATCAAGAACCGCAGACTCTACCGACTGAGCCAGCCAGGCACCCTGAAATGTGCATGATTGGATGTGCTCCAAAAGACATACAGGAATGTTCACAGCAACAATCCCATGATAGCCAAAATCTGGACCTACCCAAATGCCCATCAGTAGTGGAACAGATTAACATAATGTAGTATATTCACACAATGGAGCTCTAGACAGCAAAGAATGAACGATCCTCAACCACACATAGAAATATGTATATATCTCATTAATATTGCATAAAGTGAAGAAATCACACACATAAGGACACAAAACGTTCAAAAACAACTAAAAGTAATCTATGGTGGTAGAAGTCAGGATCATGGTCACCCTCGGAGGGGTGACACTGACCAGAAAGAGGAACAAGGCAGGGTTTGGGACGCTGCTCGCATAGTGTTGCTTGATCTGGGTGCCGATTACATGTGTGTATTCAGGTTGTGAATGCTCAACAGACCCCTTATGATTTGTACACGTTTTGTAAGCTCATTAAACTTCAGTAAAAACTTAACAAAAAGAAAAGTTTAAGTCACTTGTCCGAGGTCATAAAGCTGCTATGCTGGCACGTGCTGTCAGCCATGTGCAAAAGCCCACAATTCTACCCACTGAGCCTACCCCAGGCCTCAAAGGACCAGAGTTCCCAAAGCAGTGGCTCCTTCCTGCACAGAATTTTGAGAGTCATAGGAGGCTGCTTGTGATCCCCAGCTCTTAGCGATGTGCCCAGTCATTGCTTCCACTGGATCCACTCCCCAGATAATATCTTCAGTTTGGCCACTTGCCTCCAACGATAACTTACTGAGTGCCCACCAGGTGCCAGGCACTACTCTAGGCACTTGGCATGCATCAATGAAGCAAACAGACTTGTGCCTCACATTCCAGTTACCCAGCAGACTCTTGCTAGGCTGTTCACCATCACCCCAACCAGCGCATGTTTACAATGGAACTAAGCACCTGAACATCTCTTCTTTAAAATCAGCAGCAGGGGATCCCTGGGTGGTGCAGCGGTTTGGCGCCTGCCTTTGGCCCAGGGCGCGATCCTGGAGACCTGGGATCGAATCCCACGTCGGGCTCCCGGTGTATGGAGCCTGCTTCTCCCTCTGCCTATGTCTCTGCCTCAGTCTCTCTCTCTCTGTGTGACTATCAGAAATAAATAAAAATTAAAAATAATAAAATAATAAAATAATAAAATAAAACCAGCAGCAGGGCAAAGGGCAGGGGGTTTGAGGCCAGTGGACACACTCTGAAACCTGGTTTGCCATAGGCGGCGCTAAACCGCTGAGCCACCCGGGCTGCCCACTAGCTGGGTTTCTCCTAATGATGTCATTTGCTAGCTATTTGCCAGGGCCTATCACTTAATCTCTCTGTGCCTTTGTTTCCTTGAGCACAGAGATGGAATAACAATAGTACCCACATCATGGGGTTGTTTTGAGGGTTAAATGAGTTAATACACCTGACGTGACACAAAGTAAGTGTTCAAGAAGTGCGCAGTTATTTTCAGTTCACTGAATTACGAAGAGAAATAAAGGAAGAGGCAAGGGAAAGAAACCACTTCACCCAGCGCCTCCTATATGCTGAGCTCTTTGCATGCATTATCTCCTTGAATCCTGAGGACATCCCAGGAAGTAGGGTTATCATTACCACCACCTCCAGGTTACACTTAAGGTGACTTTGCAGTGAGATGAAGTGAGCGCTCGAGGCCACTCCCAGCTAGGAAGCAGCAGAACCAGGATATGAACCCAAGTTTCCAAAACTGGGGCTTGAGGTCTTTTTGTAAATTTTAAAGTGTCACAATGAGTGTTATTTAACCCTGCCTAGTTCCTTATTTCTGTCAATGACATAATCCAAGAGCTGGAAAGAACCTCAAAGAGCCTATAACAGCCCCTGGCACGTAGCAGACCCTCGGTAATTGTCCCTTCAGTGCCTGCCTCTCTTCTGACCCCTTCAATTTACAACTGAGAAAGCAGGCCCAGAGAGGTTAGGGGATCTGGCCAAGGTCACACAGCCAGCGAGTGGCAGAGGCCGGGAAACTCCATTTGGAGAGCCTTTGCAGACTCTTCCTGCCCCCTTACCCCTTCGTGGCCAGTCACTAGGTCTCGTCAAGATTTTGCTCCATCTTTCACTCTCCTCCCAATGCCTTAACCCGGGCCACGCAGCTAGCACCAAACAGCTTCCCCTGAAGACTCCCTGCCTCTAGCCCCTCTGCCTTCCAACCCCCTTACACACACCACCACATTTCTCTAAAAAACCCCTTCTGAATTACAGCCCTTTACCAGCCTCCCCTAACACATCAGATAAAGGACAACTTCCTGTCCGATACTTGGGCCCTGCAAGAGTGGGCCCCACCTCCACTCCTGCTTTGCTGCCCCTGAGGT